AACGCTGACTATGATGTAGTGGGGTAGCAGCAGGATTACACGAAGCCATAAAGGTGACAAGATTGTCTGAAACTTCCCATATCTTCCTCTCTGTCTCACACTTACACTCAGATGGACACCAAATCCACCAGCCCAGTGTCTAGCGGGCAAGATACGAAGTGTTTTGTCAACAACGAGCATGGCAGCAGAGTGTTGTCTTCCAGAGAGTATGAGAGAGGGCTTTAAATCAAACCCAGGCATGGTGTGATAGTACAGACAGCAGCTCTCACTTCTAAAACAGTCAGGGAATGTCGATCTCCCGCTAGTCATCAGAACAAACAAAGAGGCGGTAATGTGAGCCAAACAATGTGTGTTAATGTTCACCCTCGGTGCCCTGTGATTCCTCCTGCAGCCTTCTGTGCATTCGTATGACATGGCTGTTACATAAAGAATATAGCACAAGTACACTGTAAAAAAATGTGTGCAATTTTAACTGGGAATGAATGCTACAACAAAACCTGCTAATTTTAAACAATAAGTTCTAAATGTAGATTATATTCAAAGACAATGCATGTTCTTTTACGGTCATCTAAACCGATTGTACGGTCAAAAAAAGTTTCTGAAGTCCCTGAAAGATGCATCACGTTTGCATATCTATAGCTATTTCTTCTCATATTTGTTATCATTTATGCACTTTTTTATGATGTTCATTTAATGTTTATTGCATTAGTTATGGTGTTTTGTTCATGTGTTTCATACAGTACGTTGTTCATGAAAAGTCCACATTTTATGAGCTTATTGCTCTTTTATTTTACCACCTGTATTATTATGGTATATTCTGAAAATACTGTAAAAAAGTGATTGATGTTGTTCAGATTGGAAGGTACTGTATATTAACCATTGATATTATATCAGGAGGATATAATAGTAATTATAGGATATTTTATAGGATATGAATAATACAGACAGATGTTCAGTAGTGAATCTCATGAAGATGTCTGGGTCATATTTGACATTATGTGACATTATTTGTGACATTATTTTCATGATATTTAAAGGAATAGTTCACCCCAAAATTAAAATCTGGTGAAAATGTACTTCATCAGAACAGATTTGGAGAAATGTAGCATTACATCACTGGCTCACCAATGGATCCTCTGCAGTGAATGGGTGCCGTCAGAATGAGAGTCCAAACAGCTGATAAAAACATCACAATAATCCACAAGTAATCCACACCACTCTAGTCCATCAATTAATATCTTGCAAAGTGAAAAGCTGTGCATTTGTAGGAAACAATTCCATCATTCAACTTCAAACAACTTCAAACCATTGCTTCCAGCTAAATTACGAGTCCATAATATTGATTGGGATGGACTTTTTTTTCGCGGAAGGAAGCATTATTCTGGATAATGGACTTTTTGTGAAAAGCCATGTTTTAAAGTGACTTGATGGATTTATTTGTTACAAACATGTCTGACAGATCTGAGCTTCTCGCCACAAGAAAAGCCCTGTTTACTTTACATGAACATTTCTCATAAACGATGTATTAATTTTTTTATTTGCTTATGTCCTACACGTGTTCTAAGCAACGTTCATTATCAAAACAAACCAAAGAAGACCTGATTTTAGCTTTGACTGAATTTGCTGTTCTGTTGTCTTTTTGAGCTGAAATAATTTGTATTTTTTATTTTTAAAATCAGTACAGGATTCTAAAGAACTTGATATCTGATACCTGATAATAGTAGTAATCATTAGTCCTAGAGGTATTGGTGATCTTTAGTTAGTTTTATATTTAGTTGGAAATGTGCTGGCAGAGAGAGATCAGTGATGTTCATGCTGCATCTTGTGACCGTACCCTCTGGAGACCCATGAGTGACCGGAAAATAGATTTAAGTTTGTATCAGCTTTCACTTATCATATAAAACAAGTTAACGATTTGTGAAAATGATCATTAAAGGTCAAGCCCATTACATGTTGAACATATTTCTACTTAGAGAATAATATACAAGCCATATCTCTTTACACTTTCACAAGCACTTTTTATAGGCAGCATGAATTGGGGAAAAGCATAATTATAAAATTATTAAGCATCCATCATTTCTAGCTGCATGTGTTGGTGTTTTATGAACAACAGCTTTAAATGCAGTACAAACAACAATAGTGTCATCTGGTGGTAGAACATGAGAATATCACCTAAATATTTTCTTTTTTGTCGTCATGTCAGTCTGTTTTCAATCCTCCTTTATATGAGGCGATAATATTGGCAAGATATACAGCAATGTGTCAAAATATATACGGTTTATGTATGGTTTAGTGAACTACTAAGAGCAGTCTAAGGTGGTTTACAGCAAGTCTAAGGTTTATCACCAGGGTGTGGGTAAAACAATCCCACCTTCATTAAAAAAAAAAATAAATAAAAAAATAGATTATTGGTGAAAGTTTTATGAGAAAATATTGCGTTTTCTTCAAAATGCTTCAACGTGCTGTTTCTTTGTAATTGTTTGTGAAATTTACTAGCAATTTCGGAGTGAAAATGGTTTCTCTAAACATTCATGTTCAAAATTATTATTCAAATTTTGTGCAGAATCTTTTATTCTTTAAAAACAACAATAAGCGCTGCCTGTAAGTGCTTAGAAGCTTCTGTCACCTCTCCACTGCAAGCTTGGCCCACTCCTCACTTGGAAAAGATTTAGATCACTGATAATCTTTGCTTTTCACATTGCCACTACTTTCTTCAAATTCAACCAAATGTTTTTAATGAGAATTAAATCTGGAGACTGAACAGGCTTCCTTTTATGACTGATCCCTGAACCAAGCATAAGTAGATTTGGATGTATACTTTGGAATGGCTGTCCTTCAGGAAAATCCATAGATCATCAGCTTCAGTCTTTGCTCCAAAGGCATCACATTTCTTGTCAAAATGGCCTGATACTTCAAAGAATCCATGATGTCCTTCATACAGTCATGATTTTCCAGTTCCTGCAACAGTAAAACGCCCCCATAACAGGACTGGTCCACCTCAAAGTTTGACCATGGAGGTGTTTTTTTGTTTGAACCAGCAGACATACCGCTGATCCATGGGTCCAAAAAGTTCCAATTTGGTCATATTACTCCATAAAACATTCTTTCAGAACTCCTCAGGTCTACCCAAATGAATTTTAACATGTTCAAGTCAGCCTTACAGGCCATACTTGTCTAGTGTTCTTCTTACACTCAGCATTGAAATGTCTTTCCTCCTTTCATTGGGTCATCTTGCAAGTCTTTGGCTGTACATTGCAGGTTTTTCTCAGTTGCTCTGATCAAATTAATGTTGGTATTGTGCTTTTTCTTCAAAACCCTCAAAGGTTTTCTGGTACAACATATTTTAAGCTAAGGAATAGGGCTGCCAGCTGTGTCTCTAGGATCTTTTAATGTCTTGGAAGTCTTCAAGTAGCCTTAGACTTTATAATGTAATAAAACTAATCTCTATAGCTTTTGAGAGAGCTCTTTTGACTATGCCATATTTTCTACTCAACTTCAGCACATGCATGAGCTAAGTTTCTGTACGTTATGTGTAACAGCTTAAGCTAATTCTGTTTTGTTTTCTAGAGACTTAATTGTGTTTTTTAGGACAATTTTGTTCCCTCCATACAAATAAATGACTTAAAAACAGCAAAGTTGAATAATTATGAAATAACTGTGTTATTAAAAAATCCTATGACTCAAAAATATTACATTTTGTATTATCACTTTTAATATGCCAGTAAACAGTTATAGGTGCAATTGATTATAAAATCCTGGATCTTCAGAAAAGCTGAAGTTGTTCTTGTTGTGTTCTTTCTTTGATTTATATATTTAAGTTATTATTGAAAAAATGTCTACAGACCTACTCTATTCAAACAGCAGTTCTTCACACTCCAGTCCAGTAGGTGGCAGAAATGCACCTCATGTTGGTTTACCAAACACCATCGGAAATCGAGGGGTTATGACGTCATTGGCAGGCGACACAATGACACTATGGACACTCTCCATGTCACTGTTTAAATCCAGAGAAATAAGCAATTTTAACTATTCTTCGAAACATTTGGGATAATGCAAGTACACAAGTCAGCAAAATATATAACACCGTTCTAGTGGTTTTTGGATATTTTAATTTAAAAAAAACGTACATATTGTGCCTTTAACAACTTTTAAGCTTACAAGCGCAGGTCATTCAGCATTAGGCCACATCATCCAGGATATTTCTTTGTTCATTTTTTTGTGTTTATGACACTTCACCTCAGCATACCTGACTTAGATTGTGGGGGGAAAACAATGCACTATTTCAGGCCTCCTCTCTTCCTCCCCCTTCTAGGCCAGATATCACCTAATGCTGACATTTCAAAAGAGGAAGCCCATTTAGTGAAAGCTCACACAATGCCAGGAAAGTGAAAGTTTCGGTTGTGCAGAAAGAAGAAGTTTACTGGCCTCTTACTGGAAAAGACCCCCCTAACTCCACCTAGACTTCAGTTCCACATATTTGGCAAACAATAGAAAGTCTCAGCGGGCTGTATTTACACCACCAGAAGGGAAATAAGAGGCGAGGTTAGAAATGTCAAAGTGGGATGACACTGTATGAGTGAATTCACTTGTTATTGCCAACAGTTTACGACATCATTTGGGCTGCACTCGATGTTCTGTTGTATTTGGCTGTGCTTAAACTCTTCCATTCAGTCCATTTCCTGCTAAGATTTTGTTCCACAACAGTTTACATCGATTCATTTGACAGACACTTACAATTTAAATTGGTTTGCGGTGCATACAAGGTGTACAATATACAGTACTTTTTATCTATATGCAGTATGTGCTCTCTGTATCAAACCCTTGGTGTTGCTAGCATAGTTTTGTTAATATAATATGCATATATGTTTTATGCTCACAAAGAGAGAGATGGCATGGTATTTCGGTTCATGTGTTTTCATATGTGAAGTTTTTATGTTATTTGGTTTAATTTTTGATTTAATTTTCTTTAGCCCTAAATGAATATTCTGTCATTATTTACTCACCCTTGTGTCAGTTAATAGCAAGAAGTAAAATTCCGGTTTGTTCTTCACACAAAGCTGCCGCGAGACTTGAAATACAGCGTATGAGACATGAACAACATTTATTGTTCTTATGCTGTTTCTTTGTCCTTTTAGGAGCTCAGCAGATCCTTCAAAAATATCTTCTCTCCACAAAGAACATAACAGCACATGCATTTGGAAGAACATGACGGTGAGTAAATCATGCTGCTTGTTTATTTTCATTTATGAACTATCCCTTTTGCATTATTTATGGTGTTCATGAAAATGTTAGCTGCCAAAAAAAAAAAAAAAAAAGATTATGTCAGCATTTTATTACATAATTAAAACATAAATTTAAAGATAAATTAATCAATTTAATGATAAAGATAATTGATTTTCAAATAATTTATGATTATGTAAAAATTAAATTTTCACAAAAATCTTAAAATGTATAGAAATGTATGCTTAAAACAAGGAAATTATGAAAATAAACTTGTGTTCTCTGTGTTGGATTTATCTGAAAACAAGACTAACGTAAATATACAGTGTCTTGTTCTAAGGACGTTCTAAGGAAAAATACTGATTAAGAAGAAATTTTTTTATTTCAGTGATTTTAGCTTTTTAGTTTTACTGTGGTACTGTAGCAGTTATTGCCAGCAGGGAGCGCTGTATGACAGCTAAAACACATCTTATGATACTACTAATAAAGAAGCTTGGCCTTTAAATTTACACAACGTTCCTGGCTCTAACAATTCCCATAGTTTCCCATCTAATTATTACTCGTCTCATTTCAAGCCTCGTGAGCGCATGGACTTTCCGTTCAGTGTCAGTGACCTTTCCCGAACATTTCATATTTTTCTAGTAATGTTTATGTCTGTCCTCCCTCCCTCGCTCTGCTCTGCTGCCCCTGTTGTTTTTAGAGAGTATAATATCCCTCTGCTGACACACTACAGATTCTCTGGAATTTTGCTTCCTGTCCAGTAGAGTATGAATGTGTTTGTTCCGAGAAATATTTGGCAGCGTTTTCTTTTGTGGAATTTATGGAGATTTTGGCCATCTGGGATGATGGACCATTGACCATATTTGGGAAATTCACTATTCACGGCTGTCTGCTTCGGTCAAGCATGTTGTATTTTTTGTATTGATTGCTTCATCCTGTAGTAAAGGGCTGAAATTCTCTTGTGATGCCAGACTGGAGTAAATGGTTCCCATGGTAACAGAGGAGTCTGGCTGCCACCCAGACCCTGCGCTGTGCTAGAACAGACAGAGCATTCTGGGATATAATACATCAAAACTACCACCATCACCTTACCTAACCCTGCCTCCCACACACACGTTTAAGAGGGCAGAGCCGCTTGAGTAACTGCATCAATGTGTTATATTTGGAAATCGTATCCATCACCATTCAAGCATTTTATAATCACTACAGGTGTTGCTAGCATAGCTGTCTTTATCTTTTGAAGTTTTGATTTCTTAAAGTCTCTTGAATTTCAAAGGTTTCATGATTTTGGCAGCAAAAAATACATTAAAAACCGTCAAATTGTGAATTATTATTATTATTAACATTTTCTTTTTTTATTTGAATATATTTTAAAATGTAAATTATTGCTGTGATGCAAAGCTGAATTTTCAGCATCATTACTCCAGTCTTCAGTGTCACATGATCCTTCAGAATTCATTTTAATATGCTTATTTGCTGCTCAAGAAACATTTCTTATTATTATCAGTGTTGAAAACACCTTGTGCTTCTTAATATTTTTGTGGAAACTGACACTTTTTTTTCAGGATTCTTTGATAAATAGAAAGTTAAATGGAATGGTGTTTATTTAAAATAATTTTTTGTAACATTTAAAAACTTTACTGTCACTTTTGATCAATTTAATGCATGCTTGCGTAATTAAGGTATTCATTTAAAAAAAAAATCTTACTGACCCCAAAATTTTGAAAAATTGTGTATATATCAGCTAATTTTGGATATTCAATTGTGCTTTATTTATTTACACTAACTTTACCAAGACAATTTAATAATGATGTTAAATGAAATCTGTTGTCAATGAAATCTTTAAATTTTTTGTTGAATGTAAAATAATTTTTTTTCATACCATACTTTATAATATTGTGATGCCCAAATTCACTTGTAGCATTTAAAATTATTAAAATTATCAGTATCAACCACAATTTTAATATAAATGCATTCCTAAAGCACAATTACAGGTACATCTCAAAAAATTTGAATATCATGAAAAAGGTCAAAATTTCAAGAAATAAAGGCTTGAAATGTTTCACTCGGTGTAATGAATCTATATAATATATGGGTTTCACTTTCTGAAATGAGTGACAAAAAATATTGACCTTTTTCATGATATTCTAATTTTTTGAGATGTACCTGTATATAGTTAGTTGCATTTAATGATTCGCATTTAGTATTATTTTCCTTGCCGCCTGCAACCTGCCATATAAGAAACACTGCTTAATAGCATTATCTCCGTGGATCTTCAGGCAGTCATTGGTGATGCAGTATGATGTTTAGCCCACATGACCGCTGTAGTTAGTCATCATAAACCAGGAGATGATTCAATGACCGACAAGTACTATAATCATTCTGTGATCATCACATGAACAAAACACTCTGTAATTTGGAAAAAAAAACAGTCTGTTTGTTGCCAGTGATTCCAAGCATGTTATTCCTGTTGAGGAAGTTCTGAGAAACAGGCCCAGCTGTTCCTCAGCTGATGGATAGATGGCGATGTAGAGCGAATGAACTCGAATGTGCCTCCTTGGCAAACCAACACAGTACAGGTCGTGTGAATCTGGCTCCATCTCAAAGCGCTCTGAATTTGTCATTCAGTGTGTAGCTACAAAGATTTTTTTGTTTTATTTGTTCCATGCTGAAAAGGATGCCTGTGAGAAGGAAGTGGATATTTAATCCTTGCATTGTTTCCTGTTAGTATTGTTTATAACATTTCCACTTTACCTAATAAGGCCCTGTTTCCTGTGCTGCAAAATAATGACAAAAGCACATCTTGCAATTAAAGCCTCGTACACACCGGGACGATTATCGCGCGCGCTTATCTACAACGTTTTTCGACGCGTCTTCTGTGTTCATACCCAAGCGATTTTCGCAGGCGATGAGCCGAGTGAAC